CACTTAACAACAACATCTGCCTATTTTGGAAGGAGTTCTGGTAAGTATATCAGTGGTTAAGTGCTAGGCTAATAACTGAAAGGTCAGCAGTTGGAACCCACCAACAGCTCTGCAGGAGAGAGATGGGCAATCTGGTTCTGTAAAGATTACAGTTTGGGAAATGCTATGGAACAGTTTTACTTCATCCTACAGGGTCACTATGAGGGTAAAATCAACTTGATGGCACATGGCAATAGCATCCGCCTTTTCCAAGTCCCTGGGTAGTGCAAACTGTCAATACACTCAAGCTGTTAAGAAAGAAAGAAAGGTTTGGCAATTTACTTTTTATAAAATGAACCACTGAAAACCCTATGGTGAGCTGTTTTACCTTGACATACACAGGGTCATCACGAGTTAGAGCTGATTCTATGGAAATTGGTTATTCCCCTTTCCTACTGTCCAGCTTCTTGTCTAGGGCTTCCTCTGTTCCAACATTCCCCAGGAATTCTCAAGGACCATCTGTCCGAATTATTCCCTCCCTCATTTCCTTAACTTCCATATCTGCCACTCTACTATCTCGAAAAGTAAGCCCCACCATTATCCTTAGCCCTTCTTCCAGCTTCCCCTGTTAGCTCATTTTTCTAATCCACAACCACCTGGCCAATCCATCTCATTGCGGGTTTTCCTCTTTTTCTCTGATCCTCCATCTTATCAAACATGATATATCCTTCTCCAGTGACTGTTCTCTCCGGACAATACGTCCAAAGTATGAGAGATGAAGTTTGGCCATCTTGGCCTCCAAGGAGCACTCTGGCTACACTTCTTCCAAAATGGATCTATTGGTTCTTTTGGCAGCCCATGGCACTTTTAGTATTCTCCTCCAATACCATAACTCAAAGGCATCAATTCTTCTACGGTCTTCCTTATTCACTGTCCAGCTTTTGCATGCATATGAGGTTACTGAAAATACCATGACTTGGGTCAGGTGCACCTTAGTCCTCAAGCTGATATTTTCAACACTTTAAAAAGGTCTTGTGCAGCATATTTCCCTAATGCAATACATTGTCTGATCTCTTGACTGCTGCTTCCATGAGTATTGACAGTTGAGCCAAGAAGAATGAAGTCCTTGACAACTTCAATCTTTTCTCCATTGATAAGAATGTTGTTTATTGGTCCAGTGGTGAGAATTTTTGTTTTCCTTACATTGAGATGTAATACACACCGAAGGCTGTGCTCTTTGATCTTCATCAGTAAATGTTTTAAGTCCTCTTCACTTTCAGCAAGCAAGGTTGTATCATCTACATATCGCAGGTTGTTAATGTGTCCTCCAATCCTGATGCCACATTTTTCTTCATAGAACCCAGCTTCTCATATTATTTGCTTAGCATACAGGTTGAATAAGTATGGTGAAAGAATACAACCTTGTCGCACACCTTTCCCAGTTTTAAAACATTCAGTGTTTCCATGTTCAGTTCGAACAACTGCTTCTTGGTCCACTTTTACATATAGATCTTAAAGTCCCTCAAGAGCTGCCCTTGCTAGCTTCTCTAGCTTTATTTCTTGCCACTCTCTCAGTCTTGTACTCTAAGATTCAGCCACACTGAACTAGATTTAGTTCAACAAATGCCCCATTCTTCTGCACAACTTTTCTCTCTAGCCAGAACATGTACCAAGTCTTGGCCCCAGTCCAACTATCTATATTTTCACTTCTTCATATCACTTCTCCTTGGAAGCCTTCCTTGATCACCTTTGTTTCACTTAAGTGCCTAGCGTTAAAAGCTACTACGGCACTTGGCACTTCATCTTCAATGGTAATCATTATAATGTATCTGTACCCACTGCTATCAATTCTGACGCATAGCAACCCCAAAGGACAGATCGAAATGCCTGGTAGGGTTTCTAAGGCTGTAAATATGGAGGAGAACTGTCACACATTATCTGGTGGAGTGGGTGATGGGTTCAAACCACCAACCTTTTGGTTAGCAGCCCACTGCTTAACTGCTGTACCACCAGGGACTTTGATATGTCTGAATTCAATACTAAATTCGACATGTCTCATCCAATGTGCTGTTAGTAAGGTAAGGGTTTAGTAAAATTATGAAGGGCTTCCAAGACCAAATTATACATATCAAGTATATTCTGTCAAATTTCAAATTTACCTGAAGGTAAAAGGATCCAGTAGCAGTTTCTACAAAGAGGGATCTGATTTGACTGTAAACATCATATGGGCAGGTACCATCTTCATCTTGTTTACCACTGTATTCAAAGCACCTAGCATTTACCAGGCACTCAAATAATCATTAAATACACAGATAAGAGACATCCTGAGAAAGGGTTAAAAGATGTAAGGGCTATTTGGATTTGGATATGAAGGAGAGACAGTTGATGCTGCAAACCTCTCCAGTTTGGGTGATGTTGTTGTTAAGTACTGATGAGTCAGTTCCGACTCATGGTGACCCTGTATAGGGTTTCCGTGGAGTGGCTGGTGGGTTTGAACTGCTGAACTTGTGTTTTGTAGTCCAGTGTTGAACCTACAGCCTCACACCAAGAGGGAGGCTATTTTAACATAAGTGAAAAACATATGGGGCAGAACAGAATCCTGAAGAAACAAGTGTTTATTTGGAGATGCACCCAGACTATCAGGTGGATGTGCCTACTTGGCACATGGGTTGGGAAAGCAGATAAAGATCTAGGAATGGTGACCACTCAGGTAGTCACTGATGACTAAAATAATATAAAGTTCTCCAGGAGTGATGAAATAGAACAAGAATAGAAACCTAGAAGAAGAAAACATTTAAAGTATAAGGCAAAAGAAAGGAAAGGAGTAGAAAGCAATGGTCAGAGAAAGAATGGTGAAGATGGGGCACACTGTTAAAGTCAAGGAGGAGTAACTGAAGAGTTTGGGTGAGGTCACAGCAGTGTCCAATGCAGAGGAGAGTCACATATAATGGAGATGATGCCTAGATGGTCCAGGGTGACCATACTGGCGGTGACTCAGTGGTGACTACGGAACAAGTAGACTGTTAAATGTTAAGGAAGAGTAAGCAATGGACCAGTGTTTTCCAAGAAGTTTGGTAGGGGTGGAAAAGAGGATGACTGGGAAGAACCTAGAAAGAGATTAATGGTGAAGTGTGCGAGTCCAGCCCATACCACCAGGGCAGTGGAGACAACGCAGCTTACAAATAAAACACAGACACAAATTAGGGATTAAGGGAGATCGCAAGACTCATGACCTCTAGGATCAAGAGCTCAGCAGAACTCATGACCTCTAGGACCAAGAGCCCTGAGACATGGCGGTACTCCGTATTTATTAGCCTCCAGCCTTTACATCTCCCCAGGATGCCATACATCACTGACATTAAAGGGGTCTTTTGACATTATATAGATTAAAGAAATGTTCTTAGGGGAGAGAAAAACAAGACCATAATTCAAGGATGCATGAGTAGGTTTCGAGAGAGAACATTGCAGGGTACCGGTTATCACATCTGGTCACTGTGTACCAATCTGGCTTTCCATCATGGCAGAGCAATAAAGGAGCAGCTTTCTGCTTCCTTATGCTGTAGCGCAGACGTGACTCCCTTCCTCCAGCGTCTGTCCTTGTTAGTCTCCAACAGTAAAGAGAAGTTTTTTAGTTTTTTTTTTACTTTTCTTTCTTTGTGATGATAGGCGAATACAATTATTACTGATGAAAAAGGAATTAGTTTTAAAGAAGGGAAAGACACATCCTTCTCTTGAGTCAAAAATGGAAGGTACTCTCTCTCTAATAGGTATAAATCCTGAAGACAGAGATTATCGTTATATTTTTTACCACTGTACCCACAGCATCTAGCAAAGAATCAGATACTCATTGACACATAAAGGTACTCAAATATTCAGTGACTGAATACATAAATGAATGATTCCTTTTAAGAAAACTACTCTAGCTAAAGTGCATAGGATGGACTGGATTAGGAAATGACCCAATGAAGCAGCCTAGAAACAGAAAGCTTAACAGGAGTGATGCTGTTATTGTTAGCGTCCATTGAGTCAGGTTTCAACTCTTGTGTGACCCACGGCCTCACAGGGTTTCCTAGGCTGAAATTGATGGGAGTTGATAACCTGATATGCGTGGGTTGTAACCACTATTCTTTTGGTTACAAGCTGAGTATGTGCCGTTGTGTTGGTTCCAACCCAGAGCGAACCAAGAGCTGCTAGTGGGTTGACCTTGTGGTAGGAATTCAAAGAGAGATCACTGGAGGTTATGAACTTATAGTGACCCATCTCCCTGGTTGAGAAGTGTGAGAGTGGATTTACCCAGGACTGCAAATAGGGACTGAAGAAATGGTCAGTTTTGGTTAGGTATATTCCTAAATTCATTTTCCATCTGTTCAAGCTGAGAAGGAAGAAATGGGATGTGGTGTCCAAGAGATGAGCAGTATAGCAGAGCTACATGGGGACGAAGAACAAGCTCAGTGGTAAAAAGGAGGAGAACGTATATTTCTCCTTGTCTCATCACTCAGCCTCCTAACTCTGTAAGCTTTTTAAGCATATTCAAAATCGTATTAATATCTAGGGCCCTGCCCAGAAGAGGTGATTGCATGACTGAGTAAAGGAATCAGGGCCTTATGTGACTTGTCATCTTCACATTTTTAAATATTTGGAAAAAATTTATTTTCAAAAAGGATAATAGTTAGTAACATGGAATAATTATACGAAATGAAACGCATTCATGCTCATTTGTTTACATACTGTTTATGGCTGCTTTTGTGCTACAATGGCAGAGCTATGAGTGTAGTATAAAGGGATCAGTCCAGTGTGGTCTGAAAGAAATATTTGTGTATATGTGTGATGGTGGTATGGTTCCAGGCACATAGGACTAGCCTCAAACAGAAAAGTACAGTTATTTTCCCCTGTAACTTTATAGTTGCACACAAAATATAACTTGGTCATAGCCAATAACTTGGAATTTGAACACAAGAACACTGAAACCATACACTGTATTGTTAGGACAGTCACACTCTACCCCCATCTCCAGTTCTTACCTCCCAGCTTTTTGTTGTTGGCTCACTGAAGAAGTTGTCAATCATATTCAGTTCTTCCTTTTCCACCACCACAAAACCTTGCTCTTTGGCATCTTTCCCATAGACATCAGGAGACCACTGAACAAAGAATGTGTATAAATGGTCCACTCTGAAAAACATGTAGTAAAAGAAGTTAACACCAATTCTGTTTTCCTGGAAGACACTTGTGGGGACATTGGTACACACAGGAGTCTTTTTCCTGCTTGGTTCACCTGTTTTGCTAATTAGGAAATTTCTCGCTGTGAAGACCACCTCCATGAGTTGCCTTCCAAACACTGCAACTGGATCAATTAATAAAACCAATAGTCCCCAAGCAAGGAGGAGCTTTTAAAATAATCTTTCAATCTTAGGCAAAGAGATGGGATATACATCTGAAAAATATAATGAAATATTTATTTTTCAGATTTATATCCCATCTCTTTGCCTAAAAACTAATTGTTTTTGTTTTGTTTTTCCCTAATTGGATTTCATTTATCAAATCTTCATTTATCACTTGTACTCAAAGTGAAACAAATTGAACTGAGACTTTGGCTGAGAACAAAGATAAATAATACTCCAATGGACCTTTATGTAGACTACTGTACTAGTATAATTTTAATAAAACAATTTGATAACTAGAAAGTGTCAGGAATAATACTAGTTATTACTTTAATATTAGAAATCAATATTTTAATATTGATTTTAATATTACGTAATTTTATTGACATAGTATTTGTAGTTGGCTTCCAATTTCTCTGTTGTCTTATACATAGTCGATACAGTAAAGTGCCGAAGTATCTCTCACGGCTTAATCAACAGATGGCTAGGTTCCTGAGCAGACAATAGGAACTCTTAATTCCACGCCTCAATTACATCCCCTCTGATCATAAGCCTCAACTCCTTTGATCTTAAATTCCACACCTGTAACCACTGCAGTGGGGGTAGGGGGTGGGTTGGGATTAAATGATTCCAAAGGTCCCTTCTAATTTCAAAACTAACATATAAAAACAAACACACATATACAGTTTTCTGATCCTTATATTAAGAGCCAAGACATAATTGCTTTTCATATCTAACACTACATAATATCATTTACCACGTTGTTAGTTTTTGTAGTGACTTATAATGGCTACATTTCATTCAATAAACCATAATTAGCTTGTATCTTATATTGTCAGTATATTTAGGCTATTTCATTTCTTTGATTGTACTAATGCTGCAATGTCTAAACCTTACTGTCTAGGCCTTTCATCTTCATGTGAAATATTATCTCAAGGGTAGTTCCTAGAAAATAAATTACTAGGCCAATGGGAATGACTTTATAGCTCATGATTTATCCTGCCAAACTGCTTCTGAAAGGCTGGTTAGTTTACTCTGCATTGCAGAGTCTTAGTTTCATCAGAACTTTGCATATCCTTTTTTCCTCTTTAAATCAGTGAGTTTAATGGAGGCAAGTTTTATCTGACTCAATTTGCATTTCATGAGTGTCAAAGGATTGACTATTTTTCAACCAGTTACTTGTGATTGTGTGAATTAGTTATCTGTGATTGTGAAGTCAGTATTTTTCTTTTCAGTCTGTGGGAGACTTATGTAATATCTTGATAATCCACCATGATCAAATGTATTTCTAAATTGGTGTTTCTCATTTTATATGAACTATCTTTCCTCGACTTGATGGCACTTAACAACAACAACAACAACATCTTTCCTCCTATACTACAAAATTACTAATTTTCATATACTTTTAAGGTATAGTTCCTTTGTGATTTCTCCAACCCTTCAAAACATGGGAAGTTATCACCCCAGAGAAGGTGCAGATTAGTGTGCATACTACACAACCATTTCTATCAAAATATGTACTCATATACATATGTATATATGTGGACTCCTGGTGTGGCGCAGTATGATCAACACTGGACTGGGAACCATAGAGTTGGGAGTTAAAATCCACCAGCTGTTCTTCAAAAACCCTCTATGGTGTCAATATGAGTTGGATCTGACTCGATGGCACGTAACAACAACTTGTATGTATATAATATACATATGCTATTGTTTTATATATATGTGCAAAATACTATTATTGCATATAGAGTACTCTGAAAGGTTACAAAGATATTGGTTAAAATTATTACTTCTGGGAAACAGATTTGGGTGGAAGACTTATTTTACATTGTATATTGGTACCAACTCGATGGCACCTAACAACAACAACAATATTTTTATTTAATTATTTTGATTTTGGAGTACATCATACAGTCATATGGTTCAAATACAAACCATAATTTTAAAAAGCACTTGTCTTTTTCTCACTATATCCCTGTCTACCCCATTTTGTGTCCACCTCTGTAGATGTCTGTGACTACTTTTTTTAGTTTCTTGTGTGAATTTTAGTGCTTTTATTAAATGTAGATATAAATATGTATGCATAGATATTCTCTCGGTCATTTCTTCTGTAAGCAGCAGAATACTATTCTCTTACTTTTTTCACTTAACAATATATTTTGAATATCTTTTCACGTCACAACTTCCTCATTCTTTCTTTTACACAGTACTTCCTTATGTGGATTCTGCAGTTTCTATAATCATCTTGTATAGATGGACACTTGGCTCATTTCCAAAACATTGTTATACAAACAATGTATGCAAATTACTTTGGATATGAGTCATTTCACAAGTGAACAGAAATATACAAAGGATAGATTCTCAGAAGTGGGACTGCATTGTTGAAGGATCAATTCACTTACAGTACTGATATGTAATACTATATTGCTCTTTATAGTGGTTATATAATTTTTGACCTTCCACCAGCAATATATATACTTTTTTGGACATGTACTATTTTTACTATGTAGTATGAAAGTTTCTATTAAAGACAGATTAATCTAGAAAATAAGAAATAAAGCACCACTCCAGAGAAGTTTGATAAACCGAATTCTAATTCTTCTAGTTTTTTTTTTTTAATGTTTTATTGTGAATTGTGTGATAGTTTATATGGGAGAACATTAGCTTTACATTCATCCTATCAATTCATTGCCATGGTTACAATCCCCTCCATGAATCATCAACCAACCAAAGGGTATACCCTGCAAGCCTGTCCCCGCAGTCTAGTTGTTTTTAATACTTAAAAACTTATTCCATATTCCATTTATTTTGGAACTGAGTTGAAACTAAATATGCTTCACCCTAATTTAGATAAAGGAAACACTGTTTACATGTGTATCTACAATGAATACATGTCATTGGCATCAATGACTTCCTAATTACTTGTTGAATGGTTGATTTGTCTACCATTCATCTGTCAGTATGTTACAACTGTGGTGGCTTGTGTGTTGCTGTGATGCTGAAAACGATGCCACCATTATTTCAAATACCAGTAGGGTTACTGAACTGTGGTGTTTTTTTTAAAATCTATAAACATGCTTCACTGCATTAAGTAAAAATAAATTCCCACATGAACACATCCATATGATGAAGAAACAATGATAAAATCGAGTCCCAAACTATCCTTAAGCTAAAAATACTGGAGATGTTATATCATAAATATACAAATCCATCACCAATTTTCTATTTAATGGTTAAATATTAGATATATACTTAATAACATAACGAACAAAACAAAATGTCTGCGGACAGTGCTATAATCTAGTTTACAATGGAAGTCCAGTAATTATAATAAATAGAAGTAAATATTTTTAAAGGCAACACAAAATTTTCATCTCCATATATTAATAGATTACCTTGAAAACAGGGAAGAACGAATTATTAAAATTAAAAATATACCTGGTAAGTTTGATGGTGTCTGAATTGTGTTTTTGAAGTAGAATAGCTAAAATGAAGGGAAGAATGGTGAAGTAAAAGAGGTGAACAGAACATTTCAAATGGTGGCATAAGAAAACAAAGTCAACCAATATGATAAAATGTGCAAAGACCTGGAATTAGCAACCAAAAGTGAAAAACACACTCAGCATTTCTGAAGCTAGAAGAACTGAGGGAAAATTCAAGTCTCAGGTTGCAGTATCAAAGGATTCTATGGGTAAAATATTACATAATGCAGGAAGCATCAAAAGAAGATGGAAGGAATGCACAGAATCATTGTACCAAAAGAACTGGTGTGGCACTGTAGGTTAATATGTCAGACTGCAAAGCCGCCTGAACTGCCAGGTTGGCGGTTCAAGCTCACCAGCACTTAACAACAACACATGATCAAGAACTGATGGTATTGAAGGAAGAAGCCCATGCTGTACTGAAGGAATATGCAAAAAACAAGGCTCCAAGAATTGCTGAAATTCCAATTGAAATCAGTTTTAACACACAGATGCAGTGCTGGAGTAGCTGACTAGTCTATGCCAAGAAATTTGAACAACAGCTACCTGGCCAGTCAGTCAACTGGAAGACGTCTATATTCCTATCTATTTCAAAGAAGGTTCAATAATTGCTCAAATTATTGAACAATATCATTAATATAACAAGCATGTAAAATTCTGAAGGTAATTAAATCTTCACAAAATTACATCAAAAGGGTATTTCCAGAAACTTAAGCTATATTCAGAAAAGGAAGTGAAACAAGGAGTATCACTGTTGACGTCAGACAGATCTTAGCTGAAAGTAGTGAGTATCAGAAAGAGGTTGCCTGAATTTCCCTGACTCCACAAAAGCATCTGACTGTGTAGATCATAACATATTATGAATACTGTGAAGAATGGGAATTCCATAATATTTGTGCTCATGAGGAACCTGTACACAGACCAAGAGGCAGTCATTTGAACAGAACAAAGGGATATGGCATGGTTTAAAATCCGAAGAGTTGTGTATCAGAGTTGTATCATTTCACCATACTTATTCAATTTGTATGCTGAGCAAATAACCCGAGAAGCTTCATTATATGAAGAACATGGTGAGGGGTCAGTGTTCAGGATCATAATCTCAGGGGACACTATATTAACTGGAATAACAGTCCACAAAGGTAATGTTGTACATCCTATTTTAGTGAGTAGTGACTGAGATCTTAAAACATGAGAGACCATCAAAGGGGCAACTACTGGTCTCTCCTTGTCTGGAGGAAGATAAGAGTAATGAAAACTAAAGACACATGGAAACAATCAGTCTAACGGATTAATGGAACATGTCGAC